TAAGTATCAACTAAAATAGGTATGGGCGTTTTCGCTATTACCTGGTGACTGAGTCAACACAGGGTAAGAAGCAGCGGGGAAACAGATCTGCCGATTACCGGAGGGTCCAGACCCAAAAGCTCGCAATTACAATATACTACTAATGAAAAAGATTACTCGAGAGAATTTGAGCAATCTTCTACGACTAACTGTAAGCGGCCTACGGATGGTGACAAAACATTTTCAACAGTAAGAGGCGGTCCTTTCCTGACTATTAAATTGACACCAACTGGACCTTCGTGTTCAGAAAAAGAAAATTTGCTCCTTTTAACAGGATAATGCTGGTATATGGGAAGGGGTTGTTAGGTTGACGTTAGAGGAACGTCTTAGCTAACATCATATCCCGACTGGAAGGAGCATAACGCAACTTGCAACGACGAAGTAAAATTGATGGTCAGGGAAAATTGTCAAAACCCTAGTGATATTTGATAAAAAAAAACTTCTGGCAGATCGCAATCGGTGACTTCCACGCTCACCTCCACCTGGAACATAACGCCCGGCAAGACTGATCTTCAACGCCCTCTGAAAGTGTCATAACAGAGCACACAAAAGGGTCGAAAAGCCCGCAAACTCTGATTCATTGGCCGTTATGTAAATACTGGAGGGAGTGGACCCAGTTACATGGCCTAAATAATGGGGTCACAACCAATTGCTAATGACCTGCCTTTCCTTCTGAAATTAGCTAATAGACACTACAGCGGTCCTTCATTCGAGCTAACTTGAAATTACAAAGTACATCCGAAATAGACAAGGTTATGACATTAGGGTGGCTCAGTGTTCGTTTGTGTGAGCCTAATCTGCTCTACAAGAGCACGTATTGGTCATTTTTTGAAAAAGGAAACAGTCGCTACGAAATGTGAAAAGTGTGCTTTATGGAATGACTTACCAGCTAAAGAGTAGTAGAGACCTTGAACATTAAGATCTGCTTCGTCCCGGTGAGATTTTACAGGGTAGGAAGCTTCCTTTATAGGGTCGCATATGCAGACGTCTATAAACTGTAAGATGAGCAAGTTATCACGCCACTTACCGTC